TTACATGTTAGGAGAGTCAGATACATGTTAGGAGAGTCACTTACATGTTAGGAGAGTCAGATACATGTTAGGAGAGTCATTTACATGTTAGGAGAGTCAGAAACATGTTAGAGTTAGTTGCCCATTAGAGCAGACCATGGAACATAAGAAAGGGAATGGAGAAAACAAGTTGGAGCTATACCAAACCAGGTGTGCCTGTAGCACATGTCTGCTGGGAAGAAGGACAGGATCTCTCTTTTCAGTGTAGTCTTTCTTGGGACTATCCCTGTGGTTCCCAGATTCTCTTCATTCCTGGGTCAGTTATAGACAATGTTATCATCCAAGTAACCTGACTAAGGATTAACTTCAAGTGAGTCTGTGGGATGGCCTGCCCTCCTTGAGGTCTGAATTCAGGCCGGTCTGAGATATCCTGCCCTCCGTGAGGTCTGACTTCATTTGGAAATCAGTGGTTCACTGCTGCTGAGGGAAGAGGATGACTCCTCAGAACTTGAGTGATTGTGCCTCCTCCTCAGAGTCTTGTGCTGAGGTCCTGTCTACAGACACACACCCACACAGAAACATGCACCACCCAAGGTATGAGGAGGTGAAGTTTGGGAGGGGATCCCTCATGTTCTTAGGAGAGCTAACTATTCCTCTAATGTGTGAAGACACAGCACAAGAAGACACTCTGTAAGCCAGAAAGTGGCCTTCTACCTGACCTCCAGGCATACCTCTAGAACCATGAAAATACAACTCTGTTGTTTATAAACCAGCAGCCTAGAATGTTTGTTTGCTTGCTTGCTTCCGTAGGAGCACTAAGGGACCAAAACAGAATTCTTGTTGCGTTGGCACAGCTTCCTTTGTGAATGAGGTGGGGAAAGGTGCCATCTGGGAGTGAAACCATGTGACCCCAGGGTCTGCATTTGAAGAAGACCCTGGAATTGGTGACAGGCAGCCTCAGTGCTCAGCTGGTGTGGTGGTCGGGAGAATAAAGGCTGGCCCGGCAGCAGAAGGGATCTGCTGCGCATGTCTGTCAGTGTGCTGTGTAGTCCCCAGACTTACTGTGTTTTATTTGGGCTGTGTTAAAACTATTTCCTCCAGATGGTAGGGGCAGGAAAGGTGAGCGACAGAAAGAAGGAGGAGGAGAAAGCCCCACCGGTCGCGTACAGGTGGGGTGAGCTGTGGTGATAAGGGATGTCTTCTGTGAGGCATTGTCCCTAGAAGAGAGGCCGGAAGTCTACAAGACAGGGAGAGAGACCTGCCTACCTTTCTGCCTTTGTTCTTCCTACAGCCAGCACCGCACTGGAAGACAGCACAGTCCTTGAAGCCAGCATTAATTCTAAAACGGCCCTCACTTTCCTAATGTAAAGTCCATGTATGTGGAAATCACGACTTCTCCAACAGCGCTGGCTACTTGATGTCTTCATACTGGGGGCTGGATGGGCGGACTCTAAATCCTGAGCTTGGCTGCTCTGCCAGATAGTGCAGGAGAGCTCAGGACAGGTCCTAGCTGTGTGGAGTTGATGCTGGTGGATTGTAGCCCGCTGTAGGTCCACTCACAGTGCATCTGACTGCTGTGAAATGGGAATACAAGGAAAACCATCTCATCCCCCAGCTGTTCCCTTGGGAGGAGGGGCAGGCATCTGGACAGTACTAGGAGCATGGAGGGAAACTGAAAGATTCTTTCTGGAAAGGTAATCTCATCCTGGGGAAATTTGAGAGTCCCCTCTTAAGTTTAAAAGGACAGTACACTCCAGCTAGGACTGGCCTGTGAAGACATTCTGGGAGGAGTCTCATAGGAGTGGAACAGCAGGGTGGCGGCACCGGCCATGCAGAGATCCATGCTCTGTGGAAAACTGCAGGTGGCTGTGTTTGCTGGTTCCATGTGCCTCGGGGCCAGGGAAAGTGGCAGTCACAGGGCGAGGTGTACTATTCCAGCTCTGGGGTGAAGGGCAGCCTTCTCCTAAAGTTTGTTTACCTTTTGTTTCATGGCAAGCTTATTTATAAAAACCACAGGGTGGTGGTGTTTTTCCTAGCATTGTTTTAAACTAAATTTCTGCTTATTCAGGTTTTACTCTGAGAAATGTTTAAATCAAATTAGAATTAACCTGGCTTTGGAGAATTTCCCAGTGTTTTAGTATAGTATATCAAACTTGGCTTATTTATTTACCATGTTTATGTTTACTCAACACACATTTGTGGCATACATGTTATGGTGAGGAAGCTTTTTTTCAGTAGTTAGTTTGACAAAGAGAAGGACCTCTGCAATTTTAGGGAGCTTACTATTTAGCAAAAGCTGAGCTTTAAACAAAAGGCCCTGGTGTGAACTGATGTTGTGACACACACCAGTGACTCCATTACAAAGTAGGCTAAGCTTGGTGGACGGGGTGTAGCTTTCCTCTGTGCTTGCCAACCTGGACTACACAGTGTGTTCATGTCCAGCCTGGGCTACAGAGTAAGACCCTGCCCCAAAAGAGGCTTGGGCTGGGTGTGCTGCTCAGTGGCAGAACCCTTGCTTGGGTGCCATGTGCAAGGCCCTGGCTCAGCTCTGTGAAGTAAAGAAGTGGCTGAAATACTTGTTACATACAAACTCTCAAGTCGAGACACATCTTAGAAGACAGCACACACCGAAAACCAAGGTCACAAGAGAATAGGAATGTCAGGTAGTGGTGTGAAGTAGATATGGCAGGAAGCTGGGAAAAGACCCCCACAGCCTGAGGACGTGGTGTGGTGGCCCAGGGTGTAACCAGTGTCATCCCTGAGGACGTGGTGTGGTGGCCAGGGTGTAACCAGTGTCATCCCTGAGGACGTGGTGTGGTGGCCCAGGGTGTAACC